TGAAACGACCAGTGAACAACATCAAGAGAAGAAAGATATTCCTAGACAGATTTTATCAAAGCAAGAAAGAGCAACTAAAGAGAAAGTTAAACAAACACAAAATGTACCTGCAGCAAAGCCTAAGAAAGATGATTCTAATGCTGTTAGTATCTTTGATGCAGCTGCTAAAGGTGATCTTTCTGATCTAGCAAAAGTATTGAAGGAGAATGATATTAATGCAGTAAACGCCTCAAATAAAACACTTCTGCATATTGCAGCTGCTAATGGACATGTTGCAATAATTGAATATTTAATTAACAAAGGTGCTAAACTAGATGTAAAGGATAAAAAAGGAAGAACACCACTGCACAGGGCCGTTGAAAAATGCCAGGATGATGCAGTGAAAGTGCTTCTCCAAGCTGATGCCTACATATATAGTTTGGATAAAGAAGCCAAGACCCCACTTCATTTGGCTGCTCAGAACCACCACACTCACATACTGAAGAGGATCCTGAAAGAAGAAGCAAGATGCTACAAGAACCGGCAAAACTTCTTACACAAGGCAGCTCTCAAAGATGAGAGCAACCTGGCACAAATGCTTTTAAAGAATGGTGCCCCAGCTAATGCAAAGGACGAGAAGGGACAGACTGCTTTGGGTTATGCCATTTCCCAGGGATCTGAGAAAACTGTAAAGGTGTTGCTTGAAGCTGGAGCCAGCATTGACTCTAACATCATTGATGTAGCCTTCAATAATCACAAACAATCCATAGTCAGAATACTGCTGGAATATTCTAAAGGATTGTCCCCTGAAATGATGGTGTCAGCTCTTTTTAAAGCTGTCCAGAAGAACCTGCATGGCATTGTAGCAGCTTTAGTTGACAGAGGAACAGATATCAATGCCCACAATGAAATGCAGTCCACACCTTTACTCATGGCATGTGAAATGGGTAAAACAGAGACTGCAGAAGTTCTCATTGCAAAGGGGGCTAGTTTGGAGGAGAAGATGCCCAACTCAAACACGGTTTTACACGTGGCAGTTCAAGCGGGGGCAGTCTCCATCACAAACTTGCTTCTCCGCAAAGGGATGGATGCTAACATCACAAGCCAGGGAGAGCAAACCCCACTTCATGTTGCTGCATTTCATAATAAGGGGTCAATAGTTGACATTTTAATCAATGCTGGGGCCAAAATTAATGCTGTCACTAAGGAATTAGTCACTCCCTTGCATGTCGCAAGCCAAAGAGGGAATGTTGATTTTGCTCAACAGCTGCTGCATCACAAAGCCAACGTTAATGTAAAGGATAAGCAGTCAAAGACACCCTTACATCTTGCTGCTGAAAAGGGAGATTATGCAATGGTGGAGCTGCTTCTTAGTTTTAATGCTGATCCCAATGCAATGGACAAGGAGAAAAAGACCCCACTTCACACTGCAGCTATGGGAGGTCATCTCAATACAGTTAAAGTTCTGTTAGCCCAGAAGGCCAAAGTTGGAATTAAAGACATGGATGGCTGCACACCAATGCACTATGCAACCATCAAAGGCAATGCAGAGATTGTACAGATCCTTTTGACAGCAGCGAAGAATAAAAATATTGATGATAAAAATATCTGGAGAAAGACTCCACTGCATCTTGCAGCAGAACATGGACACAGTGACTTGATACATTTGTTGTTGAGCAACGGGTCAACCATTAATGCTTTAGACAACAACAAGGATACCCCATTGCATTGTGCTTGCAAGGCTGGTCATTTTAACGCCGTAAACTCACTTGTCAGCTGGTCTCAGGGAGAGAAAGCAAATTTACAAGCCACTAATAACCTCAAAAAGACTCCACTGCAAGTTGCAGAATTTAGCACAAGTGACAACCAAGCTCAGATTGTAACTCTTTTGAAAAAGAAAAAGTTAGTAAGATGAATTTGTGATGAGGAATACATTAAAAATGTTTATGTGCAAGATTATAATTTCATACAATCTGGATATATAGGATACCACTTCTTTACTTCAGACTTTAAAATCATATATACATGGCCACGGTTGATTGATATAGGGATAACTAAGAATGAAGCTGGGGCTAGTAAAAATAAGCTAATGATCAGAGATGGTAAATATATACATATACATAAAGATATAAAGCTCATTGTTGACCTACTGTGTGTTGCCAACTCTCTTGATTTTATTATGAATCTCATGATATTTGGTGTCTGTCTTAGAGACCCAGCTTTAAGAGTCAAGTGAGCACGAAAGAATCTCATTTTTTAGGTTAAAAAATAAGTAGGTTTCTAGCCCTTGCTGATGAGAAGTAAAGCTTGAAGATGTGAACAGTACAGGCTCAAAAATCAGAATAAAATAAGAATCCCAGATTTATTATTTTTTAAAATCTCATGACTTTTAAGATGATCTATCAAGATTTTCTGGAGCCTGACTCAAGATTTTTGAATGGTTGGGGTTGGCCAATAATGGTTGGGGTTAGTCAAAAAGTGCTAAATATTCAAATACAATATTAACCAGTATATTTAAGTTTAATTAAAGTGTTACTGTTTGGTTAAAATCATGTTTGTTACACAAATTTCCTTTCCTATGTTACAAGCAGCAACTAAGATTATAAAAATAAATTTTTGTTTTACATGTCACTATGCCGTTTATTTACTTTTTGCTTTTCTCAGCATGGACAGTGAAAACACACTAGTTAGTTTCACAGTTGTTTGCAATGAGTTTCTTTCAAGCTCACATGTTCTAGCACAAAGCTGAAATGTTTAGACTGCGTACACTGAAGTGAAGTGTTCATTCATTTTAGTATTTCCTGTGGATTTTTCTTTAAATTGGACATATTTTTATTGGTCGGTAATTGTGTAAAAGCTTTTTAATAGAACCAAATCTGAAGTCATATTTTACCTGATAACGATCCTTACCCTTGCTGTATTTTGCCATCCCCATCATTATCCCTGTTGATCTAATTAGCACAAAGGGTAAAAGGTCTCTTATGGAGCTGAAAAACAGATCTGGAAAGCCAAGACCATCTGAAAAAAACAATTCCTCCAGGGTTCAAAACTAAAATAACCAGAGGAAAGAGGCTTCATGCAGCCAGAGCTCCCTAAATAAAAACAAAAAGCTTCTCACAGCCTCACTTCCAATGAAAGTGAAAGGGCTCCTTGTGCCAGAGTTTTATTCCAAGACAACAGGGGCATTTCATAGCCAAGGTTCATAGTCTCAGCCCAGGGTGAGTGGAGTCTTTGATCATCCTACAGCATAAGACTTCTTAGAGATCACACTCCTTGGGATGTAATTTACTCTAGCCGAGACAACCCATGTTCCCCTTTTGGCTGGGCTCACTGGCAATCCCTACAATGAGGGCAGACAGTTGGAATGGTTTTTTATTTTCAATTCAGAGAAGACAATGCTAAATGTCCATTCACCCGGTCAGGAACTCCCATTATATTACGAGCTAATGCCTTCACAAATCCAAAGATGAACCTAATGGAATGGAGCACATTTTAACCAAGTATTCTCTATTTAATTTATTTATTTAGGTTAAATTTATAAAAAGGTTAGAAAGTGCACCTGTCCATATGCTTTTTTTTTTTTTTTTTGCAGGATACATTGATATAGCTGCACAGATGGAAACCCTTACTGTAGATGTGCTGCACTGATGTAAAAAGTTACACGCACTGGTATGGCTTACTACACTAAGGTCGTGCTTGGGAGTAGCTATGTTAGCACGTCTAGCTTCGGACAGGAATTCCTGACCTCCAGTTCTGTTTCTAATGTCCTCTGTGCCCATGATCATTCACTTATGCTGTACATACACTACTGACTTGCATCACTCATTATTGAACCACTTAAAGCACAAACAATTCAGCAATCTACACTAGCCATGCTGAATCAGAACCTTTGCCTCATATCCACATTATCACCGTCCTAAACTGTCTCAGTTACAGCACTCTCTGGGTACCTGTCCCTTAGTTTTGAGAAGCACATGACTGAAGCAGTGGATTCTAGATTTCCATCCCCCTTTTGCGCACTGTTGGATAGCGATAGGAAGACCAGGGTCTTGCCTACATTGGGAAAATTTGCACCACTGCAACTATATTGATGTAGACCCTAACGTAGATAACTAGCGGAATAAACTGCATTGATATAAGCTCTGCTTTATATTGTTGCAGTATTAGTCATATTGGAGTACAAGGAGGACAGGGATCAGGACCCCCTTGTGCTTGGCACTTTACAATGTCTACTTTAGAAGTTTGCGCTATTCTAATTACATCAGTAGGAAATAACCAGACCAGACCAGTTCCTAAACCTGCCAGGAGCCTAATCTACTTCCAAGTCTTTGACACTTTCATCTCCAGCCACAGTGACTCTGATTTAGGATTCAAACAGCTCCAAGTGGAGCAGAAAGGCGAGCGGCACTGGACAGCCACTGTTTCAATTGCACGGCACTTCTACCCTGCAGCCAGCAAGACGTGGCAGAGGTAGGGGGAACACTGGGCTGGTGCATTGGGCGGAGACCTATCCTGAAAGGAGGGTGCTGGATTTGAACACCTGGGGGATGAACATCTGAGGGTGAGCTGGAGAAGACGGGGGGGGGGGGGGTTGCGGGGGAGAGGAGAGAATCAGCAACAAACCTGAACTTCTGCACCTTCCGCTGCCCCACTCTTCTCCCCCTCCCCTGGTATTTGCCCCTCTCTTCTCCCCCTCCCCTGGGTATTTGCCCCTCTCTTCTCCCCCTCCCCTGGGTATTTGCCCCTCTCCTCCCCTTCCCTTAGGGCGTCGCTCCCCTTTCCCCCGGTGTTTGCCCCGCCCCCCTCGCCCCGCTCCTCCGCCAGGCGAGGAGAGTCAGATACTGACTCAGGAAGCGAAGAGGGTAGAAAGAGAATCATGGAAGGGCACTGTGAGCATCGGGCACGGCGTCAAGCGTTGTCCTGCGCATGCTCAAAGTGTTGCGCCCGCTCAGTTGCATCGGGAGGGGGGGCCGGACGTGCGGGAGAGGGGGTGGTCCTGTGGCCCCGCCTCTCTCGCGCGATCAGACGGCGGCCGCGGCGGAACCATGGCGGCCGCGGAGGAGGCGGATGTGGATGTCGAAGGGGATGCGGCGGCAGCCGCGGCCGGCGGGGCGCTGCGGGGGTGAGCGGTGGGGGAGGGGAGACTCCGCCCCCGGGAGAGCTCGGCTCTCGTCCCCTCCCCTCCCCCGAGACGCCGCTCACCCGCGCGGGGAGACTCCCCTGTGGGGAGATCGGGGCTCCCTCCTCTTCAGCGCCCTCGCGGCTGCAGGCCCCGGGCGCCCCTCGCTCCGAGGCGGGCTGGCTGGACAGCGCACGGGCGAGGGGATGCCCGGGTGGGAACTGGCCTCTCTCCCGGGACGGCAGGGCCACGGCATCCTCCCATGGCACAGCCCGTCAGACGGGGAGGGGCCAGAGCGTCCCCCCCCCTCCCCGGGCCCTGCGCTTCGGTGTGTCAGTGGCCCCGGTGGAGAGCGCTTGGGGGCAGAAGGTGCCATAGAAACGCCATTGCCTGCCCCAGGCGTGTGAAAAGCCAGAGTCAGGCCTCAGACCCCATAGGTGTGAAAGTAACGATTTTGAAAAAGAACAATACATTCTGGGCCAGTTGTGTTTACTGGCTGGTTTCTGAGCCTTCAGGGGGCCACTCAGGTCACGTTTTCGAGCTTTGGGCGCAACCATGAGGGTTAGAAACGTCCCGTCTGATTTCAAAGGGGAGGAGAGGTTCTGAGCTAAGCACGTGAATCCAGAAGCTGGGGCTTTATGAAAAAATATAGCAAGACGTGAGAGTTGGCAAAACTGAATATGACCTGCCCATTTGTAGCTCTGCTTCACTTGTCTCACCTTTCCTGTTTTAGACTTCTTAATTTTTCTCTTGCTCATATTAATAAGCTGCTTCTGCATCTATGCTGAACACTCCAGAGCAACTTTGGGATGAAGAGTATGTCTACACTACAGACACTACACCGGCATAACTATTGAGGCATAGTCCTGTAGTATAGAGATGACCTTTGCCAACACAAGTTTTTCTGTCTGCATAGAACACCACCTCCTGGAATAAAGTTAGCTATGTCAATAGAAGCCCTCCTCTGTCAACATGGCTGCATCCCTAGTGGGGTTTTGTTGGCATGGATACCTCAGTCAGGGGTGTGTTTTTTCACACCCCTAACTGAGACATCTATGCCAATATAACTTTTTAGTATAGACCAAGCCATAGTGTGTGTGACAGGTGCTTTATAAAATAAAACTGTTTTGTATAAGGAGCCCATGTGGGATGTTTGTAACCTGGGGTGTGTATTGCATGCATTGCCCATCTTCATGGTTCTCAAATTTTCTGATGCCTAAAATCACATTTTTTGTATATGTCCTGAAAAGATTGTCCTGGGTCAAATGTATTTTATGTAGGTAGATGAATTTTTTTTTTAAAGTATGTACCAAGGGGACCTGTAATTAGAGCTTTCTCCGCTCTAAGAAACTGATATATTGTCTGCATTGGGGTACCTGGAACTGGTGGGAGAAAAGAGTTTAGTCTTGTTTAGCAGTTAAACTGTTTTCAGCAGCACTTCAGGGGGGCATGTGGCTAATAATTGTTTTCAGGGAAGGGTGAGTTTCCTAGTAATTAGATGAAGTTGAACTAAGTAACTCTTATGCTGAATATCAGAGAACGTTTTTCAGCAGTAAAATATTAGTTTGTATGGTAATTTCCCCAGGGCGATAGTAATTGCCTCACTTAGGCCTGGTCTAGACGACAAACTTATATCAGTATAACTACATCACTCAGGGTGTGAAAAATCTACACCTCTGAGTGATGCAGTTGTACTGACCTAACCCCTGGCGTAGACAGCACTATGTTGACAGGAGAGCTTCTCCTATCAACATAGCTACTGCCTCTCAAGGAGGAGGATTACACCAACAGGAGAAGCGTAATAGCATTCTCAAAAATGTGCTACATCAGTGCAGCTACGCTGCTGCTGCTTTTTATGTGTAGACCTGCCCTGAGAATGACAAGATTACACTGGACAAAGCAACGACAGATATAACAATCCTGGAGTGACAGGATGTTGGGGTAAATGAGCTAATAGTTTTTCACAGAATCATTGAAAGAGATGGAGAAGTTTAAAAAACTCTTTACTCGTTGTTACTTTTTATGATCATAAAGGAAGTCCAGGCACTTTAGCATTTTGCTTTCCCTTTATTGAAAGGATTTGCATGTGCATTGGGACCCCACAGTCCTCAGTCTCTTTCCCCTTTTGTAATCTCAGTGCAATTTTTTATGCTTAGCGGAAGGTGATGATACTTTACCCTCATCATCAACCTCAAGTGATGGCTTCTAAGTGAATCAAATGCTGATGTGTTTATTTTTCATACAGCAGCAGCATCTTAAACTCAGAATACTTTCAGAAGATTTGTCCCTTTCTGAAGGGGAATGTAAAAGCTTTTAAGAATACATAATATTTTTCAAAACAGTTCTCTGAGGAATTGTCCTTTTTCCTCTCAATTACAGTAATATTTCTTACTTAATGCAGCTAAACCAAAAAAAAAAAAAGCTTATTAGTCGAAAGTGTTCCTTCCACTACCTTACTTAGCATACATATGCAGCATACTAAAATGAGAGCTTCTATAACCATAGGACTTGTTTCTGGATTTCTTAAAGTATTAATGCCATGAGGTATCACATTGTACAGCTGAGCCCTAAATACTAGTACATGTGAAGGTTATCAGTCTTGTTTATTTGTTTTTTATTAAAGACTGATATTTGATTTTCCTTAAGAATTACATTTTTCTAAAATAGCACCTTTCCTCCAGGGATCTTGCACCTTTACCAAGGGGGTTATTATTCCTATTTTACAGATGGGGAAATTGAAGGATAGAGAGGTTAAATGAGGATCACACAAGAAGGCAGTGACAGCTGAAAATAAAACTTCTGTCTTCTAGCAACTACGAGACTCTGTTGCCTGTGTTGTGTTTTTATACTTCACAGCTTTGCTCCCACTTCGTTTTCAGTCTTTTTTGGAAGAAAATTTTTAACTTTTCAGTAAAACAGAAATTGATTTTGCTGATACTTTATGCATAATTCTACAGCATGAAGGGAGAGATAGTACTGTTAGTAAGAGCCCTAACAGTTTGAAAAATATTGAAGAAAAGGTTAGGTCCCTTTCTGTGAGGGGGCCATTTACACTTTGCCCAATGGAAAACTTATGAAAGGCTAGCCCTACATAATATTTCTACAAAATATAAGTGACCCCTTTTAATTTTAGAATCTCTCTGTCATTCTTATGTTAATGAATACAAGTAACACTATAAAAGTCCAAATTTTTATGTCAGTTCTGACAAGGTTACCTGTTTTCTTTTAAAGTGTTTGCATTACTGACTATATGAACTTTCAAAACTTTTTTTCCTTCTTTAAAATGATTGAAAATTTTATTACAGAGACTATGAAAACATAGCTTCTGGCTTATTGCAAGATCACTACCTTGATTCATCTTGGAGAACGGATAACAGCCTTGTAAGTAGTTTATAGGAAATAGTCTTTTTGGTTTGTTTGTCTGTGTTTAAATGAATGGTATATCTTTCACAGAGATTTTCAAAACTTTGTATTTCTTCCCTAGCCACTTGAGAACATAAATTAATGTTTTTATCTTTTCTAAAAAAAAAAAAAAAAATCAACCTGTGATTGGTTTTGCTTTAGAGGAAGTATTAGATATTTGTGTGTCAAAGAAGATAATTGAAAAATGTCTGTCATTTCCAGCCATGGACACTGGATAGCAACATTAGTGAAGAGAACAGGGCTGTGATTGAGAAAATGTTGTTGGAAGAAGAGTATCCTTTTATCAAATTGCTTATATGTCTGTTCCTTTCTTAGGGCAAAATAAAATCCTCTGTCCTAGTAGGAAGCAGATATATAGTGGATTCTTTTTAAAGAGATTAGTGTTTACTGAACTTGAAGCATTGTGCTCCAGTAGTTAGAGCATGGAAGTATGAGATAGTACACCTGAATTCAGTACCCTGTTCAGCCACTCTGCAACCCTCAGCTTCCTCAGGCTTTGGCGAGTCTCATAGGGTACGTCCACACTGCAATAAAAGACCTGGAACACCGACTTTCAGAGCCTGGGTCAATTGGCTCGGGCTTATGGAGCTCATGTTGCGGAGATAAAAATAGCAGTGTAGACGGTCCTACTTGGGCTGGAGCCCAGGCTCTGAGACCTCCCTCCTTACAGGTCGTGGGAAACTTCTACACTGCTATTTTTAGCCCCTCGGCCCTAGCTCCACAAGCCTGAGTCAATTAATCTGGGTTCTGAGACTTGGTGTCACAGGTTTTTCTTTTCAGCGTAGATGTACCCTTAGCCTTTTTGTGTCTATTTCCCATCTTTAAAATGGGTTTGGTAGTAATACCTCATATGGGTGTTGTGAGGATTATTAATGCATAAAAAGCACATTTCATTTCTCAGATGACAGAGTCTATATAACTGCAAAGTATTGTATTTCAAGGGAATTTTCATATACACATCCATAAAGTTCAGGTGCCCCAAACTTCATGAGTCTCCAGATTTTTTCACTTCACATTCACTCATATCTTGAGTGGTAAAAAATACCCATTCATTGCAAGAGCTCTTTTAATGCCACTTCTGAGAAACACTTCACGCTTCTTGACAATATGAGAGCTCCTAATGTTGCTGAGATACTTAATCCCAAATAGTTGGTGACCCTATTAACAAATGTGAGTTACCTCTGTTTTTCTGTCCTTTTTCCTTTGAAGTGAAGTACTTTACAGAAGAACAACAAAATGTCAGTACAGAATGTTTTTGCCATGGGAATAAATTATTCAGACTTGAATTGCAAAAAGGCTGTGGCGTTTGACATTGATGAGAAGAAAATGTCCTACTACTGTGTCAAAGTCATAAGGGAAAACAGGCTGTGGAGGAAGCAGAATGTCTAGTTTATTTGTAAACAACATACTCACATGATTTCTAAGTCAAACAGTCACTTCCTCCTTTGTTTAACTCAATAGTATTTTAAACCAGTGACAATTTTATCAGAATTTTTGTGTGTATATAGTTCTGTTCTGTGTATCCAAAAATTCCTTAGTAAAGATTACAGGTATTACTTATCTAATAAATCGCTTCCAGAAAAAATATGGCTTGATCAAAAGGAAGGTGACAAAAAATCTGTGAAAAGGTAAAATTGCTTTTGGGGGGGCGGAAGAAATGATGAAATAGTAGAAATTTGGGGCAGGAATGAGACTTTCTTTAAAATATATATTTGCTTAGATGGTCAGCAGTCACCGTTATTTTTTTTGTTTTACAGTCCACATAAGAAAACGGGAAAAGTCATGTAGGTACTTTTTGAATAATTGAGTTGTATTTTTAAGTGCTCTTTTTCATTTATGTTAAGTTACAGAACACTAGCATAAAAAGTCAGTTTTACCTCCCCTTTAACATTTAGTCTTGTTTCTTTACTTGTGTAAGATAGTTAAAGGGACATTGTCAACCTGACAGACATTGCCATTTGACTGTTAAATGGCCTGTATTAAATTAATTGGATTTCTGAAGGACACATGTCCACATCACAAAAAAGAACAATTACAGTTGGCTTCCTAGTGCTTGCAGTTTCCTTGTTGCATGTGTCCCCCACATTCTTCCCTCCACCCAACCTCTGCAAAATAAGTTGTGGATGGGTGTTGTGCTGCCTTGAATTAGCTTCTGTAATACAAAAACCTGGAAGAATTAGTTCTCTCATCAAGAGTATAAACGTTTAAAACAAATCCTATAAGTTTCCATTGAAGAAATATAATCCACATTTCAGAAATTGTTGCAATCTTTTGGAGATGCACATTCATTAAAAAGGCACTTCCATTTTCTTATTCTTTTAGGGTTCGCTCACCGACAAAATCAGCTAGCTGCTCACTAAAGTGGACAATCGAAGAAAAAGAGCTATTTGAACAAGGACTGGTAAATATTGTATTTTTCAGTGTTCAGTTTTCTGTAAAAAACAAACCAAAAAAACTAGCTTAATTTAAAAAAAAATGCAATATTAACCCTTTTTCATAAAAAATGAATGGAGTTCTCATTGCAAAATAAAAATAATTGCAGCGCACTAAGTTGCTAATTTTTCATTTTTAACTTGTTAAAAATAATTTCCAATTGCTAACAGTGGAATAGTAAATCAGGCACACTTAGACCTTGGTCACACAGTCACATAGCTTGTGAATCTCCATCGAAATCAACACAGCTTGGTTTGTCCACAAGGGTCTGCCTGCCCAGATCCAGTTGCAGGATTTGGGCCTTAGACTGTCCCACGGGCTACTGATTTGTCTATTGCAGTGTTACAATAGCAGTGCTGTAGTTTACAAAGGAAGTGTCAAACATGAAGGGGTGCCTTGAAATCTAGTAAACTGAAAAAACTGATTTTTTTCCTCAGACACTAATATACGCTCTTTGGAGCTTTTTTTTATATGTTGGTAAAGAGTACAACACAGTGGGACCCCAGCCTGGTTGTTGCCTCTAGACATTACTATAACATATGTAATAAATACACCAATCCCTGAATCGTCCTGCTAATTTTTGTGACTTCCAGTCAGATTTTCTAAAACTATTTTTCTCTTACCTATTGCTCTGCGAAAAAACGACAGTAAACAGACACAGGCCCCTGACAATACGAGGAGATCCAGGTGGGTGAATCCCTGGACCTTCACAGTCTCATTGATTTTAACAAGGCTTTGCTAGCTCATTGCTTGAAAACAGAGGGCTTTGCTGTTTTTTGGATGATATATCTAATCTGACATGTAAAACACGTCAGAATTAGTTTTAATTACTACTTGGATGGATGATTGCAAGTTGTGTCCTTGTAGTGTCATTGCAATGATTACGTCTAATGATTTTTGTAAGCATGCTTTTCTTTTGAAAGCTTGTATATATGTAATATAATAGAAGGTGCACTAACAGCAGCTAAAGTAAAGGCTGCTGTAGCATTTCTATTCTAATCTCATGTTGTTCATAACTTTAGCAAACATCAGCCTGACAGGTGAAAGTTTTTCAGCCCTGGTTTCTTCAAAACATTAATATTGTCTTGAAAGTTTGAGAAAAAATATTGAATCAATTTTTTCTTATAAAGACAATGTAAAAAATAAATTTTCGCCATTAAAAAAATTCTAACTCTTGTAACTTTCTTTTAAACATCTCCAACTAAAATAGCGGGGTATAGAAAGTTGTATTTTGTCAAGCAAACAGCCCTTTACAAGCAGTGCCTTTGAATGTTGTAGTGGACATGGCTTTTTAATGGGCCTACTTTGACTTTGAAGATCATATTGCTATAGAATATTGAAAGTAATACTACTTAAACAGTATTTAGATGGATGCAAAGTATTATGCCTCCCTACATGGGAACTTTAGACCCCAGACCTGCAACGGTGCCTGGGTCCTCTAATGGGGAGCTTCTTGAATAACTGGGGGCCTGTGTTCCCTGTAAGTTGTGCAGTTGGACATCTGCCCAGGAGAGATTCAAGTGCCATGCAGTTGATTAGCAGAGCCAGGCACTTCCAGTCAGCAGCTTGTATTCAGGTGCCCCTCCACCCCCACTGCTTTGCAGCCACATTGCTCCTGCAGCTGCTCCTGGGACCCTCCTGCTGGCTGTGCAGAGTGGGGGGGAAGGAAGGTGCTTATGTCAGGGTATCCCCCAGCCCCTGTACCCCAACTCCACAGAGCAGGGTAGAGGGGACAGGGCTCAGAACTTACAGCAGCTCTGAGGTCTGAACAAGCCTTCAGGTGAGTGAGTGCCTTAAAGAGACAGCACACGTCTCTCAGAGACTTCTGCAGCAGCCAGCACACACACACACTCACTTACTCACTCACACTGTCTCTCCCCCTGCCCATGTACCCCATTTCTGCAGAGTGGGGGAGGGGAGACATGGTTCAGGAGGAGGAGAGCTTTCAGTGAGTGCCTTAAAGAGAAACTGTGTACGGGAGTCTTTCAGAAACTTCCCTAGCAGTCAGCACGCACAGTCTATGTCACACACCTGTTGTTGTTACTTCTTGGTACTTCCTGCAGTACACATATATTCTCTGTAATTATAGTCTTTCAAAGTGTGTTATTTTAGTTTTTTGACTGGTCTGTACATTTCATAATTTTTATTTCTCTCTTACACTTAAATTGAATTCTTTGAGTAGTGAATTCTAAAATGCCTGTCTTGTCCTGGCTGGAGTAGTTATCCCTATTGGTAACTTTTAAAAAATATATATTATATCTAGGTTTTTTGTTTCTACTGGTGGTGCACGTCCGCACATTACCTTGGTGCACATAACAAAATTTATTCCGTACATGAGTGGAAAAAATTAGAGGGAACGTTGTTGGGGACTTAGCTTCATAGTAAGCATTCACCTTTAACGTGAACCAATGCAGCCTTCCTGATTAGATTCACTCATCTGATATTATAACACCCTCAGTCTAGCACAGATACATATGTGTCAATTTGCATTTAGACTCAATGGAAGAATTTGGCATGGGCGGAATTAGGTCTGCTGTATATCTATCTGTTATAGGTGGTAATGTATGTAAAGGAAAGAACCGAGTTTGACTTTTAGAACCTGGGGTAAATGTGTTGGACTGGCAGTTAGGAAAAATAGTCTTTTCACTTTAAAATGAGCACATTTGACATGGGGCCACAATAAATTTTGATTTCCCCCAATGCAGCTTTTAATCGTTTTCAAGTAGAACCATATTTTAAAGTTTGAAAAATCTTAATCTTGAGGTTGCATTAGCATTGCCTTTTGTGCATAATTAAAGACCCCGATCCTGCAGAAACTCAACGTATATTCTTAATTCTGTGAGTAGTTCCATTGACTTTGGTGGGACACTAAGTGCATAAAATTAAGCATGTGCATAAATCTTTGCGAGATCAGAGTCTAAATCTGGTCTTTTATTCATTCAGAGGATTTGGAATGGATGTCACATACATGAACTTTTGGGTTTTTACTTTTTATATACAGTGTAGTTAAGAAATGGCATGAGGTGGGTATGTTCAACTGTGGACCTGTTTGGAAGGAGCAGGACCAGAGTTCCAAAAGGCTTATTTAAATTTAGAGTAGTGCTTTAATTTAATGAGACTTCTATAATTCAGTATTTAACTCTTAAAAGGGAAAAAGGTCAGTTGATTTTGTAGCAAGCTATTGTATGCTGTGAGCGCCTCTCTGAGGAAACTTTTAATTTAAGCAACTTAGATGCAGATTTAAGTTGTGGTTCAGACTTCGAGTAAGTTGAGCTCTTTTGTGTGCAAGAGTGGAATGCAGACTACAGTATTACACAAATGCATGACCCAGTCCTGCAAATGCTTAATTAGCTTCAATGGGACTCCTCAAGGTAGTAAGCAGTATGTTTTTCAGTGCTTTCAAGATCGGGGCAGTGAATTAATAACACTTACTGCTTAAACATAATTTCTGGCTGTCCAGTGTCTAGGTAATGGGACTTTTCGCAAGGATCGAGTAGTATTTTTTATTTCTAATAAATAATTACTTCTGTAAAACTTTCTTCTTGCATAAAGAATGATACCTAGATGTAGAAAAGATTGGTTGATTTTAATTCGTTTTGTCACACTAGGCTAAATTTGGCCGAAGATGGACAAAAATTGCCAAGTTGATTGGAAGTCGCACTGTTCTACAAGTAAAGAGCTATGCCAGGCAATACTTTAAGAACAAGGTAAACATGAAATGTCATTTTCTGTTAGTAAAAAAGGCAGTGAGGCAAGTATGCTCCTATCATATATTTTGAATGCAAACATGCATTTATGGGACATTATCATTGAAATATTGCTTATCTGCTGATTTTTAAATCTGAAATTTGACTTGGTTTGGAATTATTGTAATCTTGTTGGGAATTTTAAATGCTCTGACAAGCAATAAACAATATGGTTTGTTTTATTGGACACCCACATACTTGGAGTATATTGCTAGACTGAAAACAGATTGGCCTCTGACTACTTAGAAGTTGCAACTGTCCAGTGTAATGTAATTTCCGACTGCCAGTTGAACTCTTCTGGGACCTTTTTTTAAAAGACAATTGTGTGTATTTTAGCTCCTAATAAATACATACATTAATATCCTTTGGACCGGTCTTATTTTGAATATAAAGTGTCATGCACATCTATAATGCTGCATAAGTTCCTTAAAGTCTGCATTTTTTCAATGTTTTACTTTTTAAAACAAAAATCAGTAAGAAAAACCTGAAGATGATTTCCTTAATGTATAGTTTCTTATAAGTAAAATGGGCTGAGAGAAGATGAATTAGCTGATGAATGCTAACTGTAATGTTAGATGTCCACAATTCTGGAAGCTTTGCCAGTCAGTCCTGTCTTAATCCCTTTTTTATATATATAAGTATAAAATAATGAAATATAGGACTGCCCTTTGAAGGAGAACATCATGAAAACTGAACGTTGGACCCAATTTGACAAAGGCAAGCTTTGTAAATTAATACATAAAACTTAATGATCCCTCTAGACTGAACCAAATTGATTATGCCATTGATTTTAATAGTGTTCTTTTACATTTAAACTTCATTATTGGGGTATGCTTAATTTTTCTTATAATCCATTTATACTTTAAGGCAAAAACTGATGACTCTGAAAAAGAGGAACCAAGTCAGTATAGCAGCAATAGTCTTCCTGTTAAGGATGAAGGAGAGAAGGTGGTGGCATGGGCACCGGCAAACCTGAGGGGCCGTGCAGACCCCAACCTGAATGTAGTGAAAATTGAAAAGCTATCGGATGATGAAGAAGTAGATATTACGGATGAAATGGATGAGCTGCTTTCTCATGCACCCCCACCGGAACCTGGCAAATCTAAATTAACTGATATTCCGAAGAGTCCAATTCAAGAAACCAGAGGAAGAGAACACACTTTTTGGTCTGCTGGATACAATTTTGCAATTCCCCAGTTTGCAGAAGACAACTTTCAAAAGGCCGAGCAAGGCAAGGTAGAAGCACTGGAGTTTCCAGACATTGCAGCCACATGCTCTGAGAAACAGAGCGTGAATGGTGATGAATCTGTGAAATCAGTTTATCTGCAATTTAATGAATTTACAGAGAAAAGTGAGCAAGACAGGAAAGGGACCTTTGATGACACCAAGCAATTAGTTGATCAAGAACTTAATGAAGAGCAGAAGGACTTAGTTAATAATGAAATGCTTTTCCATCCTTCTTGCCAATTGGATGAAGAAAATCAAGAAGAAGCAGAGGAGCTTAAGCCACCTGATCAAGAAGTGGAAATTGATAGAAATATCATTCTGGGAGAAGAAAAGCAAGCTATTCCAGAATTTTTTGAGGGACGTCAGGCCAAAACACCAGAGCGCTATCTGAAAATTAGAAATTACATTTTAGATCAGTGGTAAGATAAATTGATTTCATTTTATAACATATGTGATTAAGGCTGCTGATGTGCTGTTTTGATGCAGTTAGAACAGTCATGGAATTCATGGCCTAGCTCAGAATGCTGCCAAAATTCTGATATTTTAGCTGTTTTCACAAGATTGAGAAGTAACAGCATTGGCTGTGGATGGGGTATCCCTCCCCTCTTCCCTTTTTTCTTAAATATAAAGGAACATTCTACATTTCAACAATTAAAAAGTTTTGGAGCATTATGAAAATGGGTGTCCATTTTCAAAACACATGGCTAGAATTTATTCTAGAATTCTTTCTCCAGTTTTGTCAATTTAGCGTATTACACCAAAAGAGGAAAGAGAAAATAGAGTAATACTGGTTAGTGCACTACTTTGCAGTTATTATCACACAGTAATGGTATGTAGATGGGATGCATATCACAATATATTCATGGGTCTGGTATATGTCTTCTATATTCTGGATCCTGTCCTTCAGACCTTACATAAAATTCCCACGCAAGTTGTTCTCTAGTGATGTCGGTAATGTGTGTCCGTTCTTCAGTCTGGGACAGGTAGGAGACTGAATTTATAGAATTTATAGAAATAGAAACTCTTAAGTGGCTATGTTAGAGCAAAAAGTGATAATCAAAACCATTTTTAAAATGGGTTCTTCTCAACAGGGAGCACTATTCAGAGTCTTGAATATTGTACAGTTTATCTTCATGAAACCATTTTAAGGAACCCATGTTTTTACTATGACAGGCTAATTTGCCGTGCAATTTGTTCTCCTGTAGTTTTGTTTTCTGAGTTTAACTGTACTCACTTTAAAAATATTACAATATTCTCTCAGCTCTAGTTTAATTGCCTTATAAATTGATAACCTATTCACTAGTTCTGGAGTAGTTGTAAGCTCCCATATTTCTAGGGAAATTTTTGACAGACTTCAAAGCAGTAAATGTGCATGAAAGATAAAAAACAGGATTATCCCACATTAACCTACAAGTTGTTTATGCAGTTACTAAAATAATTGTTTAATACAGTAGAACATGTGACACGGAATGGACACAAGTATTTTATTTTAACAAGATCATTTCATTTCAATAACTTGCTGCTCCCTGGCACCATTCATTTCCAGGGCTTATATTTTATGCTGTGTGGGGATATCTTTTTCCCTATGCATGTATTTGAATAAATCTGCACAGCCTCAAACACCATCATAAATTTGCATTTTTTTATTAAACTTAGATATCTGTATGAATACTCTGACTATTCCATATTTTGTTTTTCATAGAGTGTACTTTAGAAAACAACCACTCAAACAGTACAATCCTACTTCATGAGTAGCTTTTTGGGGGTGATTATAAGCCTGATACCACTAGCATTCTTTGTCAGAGTGCTACACATGTTAAATAGTCAGAATCTTCCAATAATTCCTGTAGAAAAAATACAAGGAAATTCAAATGGCTTCACAGGACAATTAAGCTATTTTTTATTCTTTTTACTGATTCATTTTCTTTTTGTTTGAAAATGTTCTATGGTTTATTTTAGGGAGCGATGTAAACCTAAATACCTGAATAAGACTTCAGTACGGCCAGGCCTTAAGAACTGTGGTGATGTTAACTGTATTGGACGGATACACACGTACCTGGAGTTAATAGGAGCAATTAACTTTGGTTGTGGTAAAAAAAAACATTTTAATCTGCATCCATTCAAATTATAACCACGATGTTAACAATATCTGTAATTGGTCAGAAACCATTTTGATAAGCTGTGTATGTTACATGAGATATAAAAATCAAGGGAGAGAAAAAATTATATTTTTCAAAAGAATTTTTCGAGTTAAATTCATTGCTGAGTACCTTCTGCATTCAGTCCAATCAAAACTATACATGTGGGTAGTCTTCATTCCATCTCCCTTTTTCTCTGAAGTCTCCAGTCACCCTTGTTTCATGTAAGCTCTTTGGGGCAGATACCTCACATAATGGCGTTGTGACCTGTTTGACCTCCCAACCCTGTCATCATGTAAATCCTAATGGGCTACTTGTAAGAGTAGGTACTAGTAGGTATCAAGGTTGCAGACTCTGGCTCTAAGATTATAGACCTTCTGAAAGAAAATAAATTGTGCTTTTGATTTGCTTTTAAATTTTCAAAATACTTGGTGTCTTCAAGTACGGATTTTATTTATTGACTGCACTTTCTCATAAGATGGGAGAAGCATAACTTATTGAAAACTAGCAGTTTAACCTGTTTCTTTAGCTAACCTGGTATATAGTTTGAAGGAACCACAGGTGTCTTGTGCGTGAATGTACATAATTCTCAAAGCCCCTCCTCATGTCCTACAGTCTGTACCATGCAATGTTCCTCCTCACTCTGTTGGTTGATGGCAGAACAAAGATTGGGGCCAGGACAGCCTCTTTGTGGATAACTTGAGTTCTCTGCCTCCACTCCTGGGCAAACATGGGGTCTCCTTGTTGTAGCAAAGCCTTCAGGATTGGACTAGCAAAAACGTCTTGAATTTGACTAACTGGAGACTCCTAGAACTATGGGTTTCTAAGCAAGGTTTGCTTCAGACCATGTCTGGGGCCCCACTTCCAAGAAGACCTCTTAACTTGGCAAGAGGCTTCAGAAATTTACCCAGATATGGGAGACATGTACTTTGGACAAATGAATGCTACAGGCAATTCTACAGGGTTATGCCATCAAACTTAGCAGTTCCCCAGAGATACATTCAAATTTCCCAGATCAAACAACTTTACCAAACACCAAAAAGTAAAAGCCTTCTTGGCATTAGGGCGGTATAGCTGGAACCAACAAGACAGATTTTATGGGGTGTACTTGGTACTCTTAGTGACCCTAAAGAATGGGGACATGAGCCATCTTAGATCTCAAATCCTTCAGCAAATCCACCAGGTCTCTGAAGTTCTGATTGAAAACACTAAAGTCTATCATTACAACTCTATCGCTCCAGTATTTAATGACTTCAGTAAATCTCAAGGAGGCTTACCTTCATGTGATAATCAGGGCGAGTCACTGGAAATTTCTGCCCTTCTGTTATAATGGGAAGCATTTTCAGTACAGGGCTCCCCCCATTCTTACTAATGTCAGCCCCACGAGTCTTCACAAAGATCCTGGTGGTCTTGCATTCTCAGAGAAAGGGGGTATATGTTTCTCCCTGCTTTGGACAAGTACCTGAAAAGGAGACTATCAGATCGCCCTTCAGCATCTACAGGAGATTGTAATCTGCATCTGGGACAATGGGTTTCTGATGAACATGCAGAAGACTCTTCTCTAGCTATTTCAGTGACTTTTGCTTTTAGGAGTGATCATAGATACCATTTCAGAGGAGAGACAACAGGAGACCTCTTTAATTCACTAAGTGTCATGTGGTCATCAGACATCCCTAGAAGTCCTTGATACAGCTCCTCAGTATGCTAGTTCCATGTGTAGATACTCTACAGCAGACCAGATTTCATCTAAGGAAGCTTAGATGATTTTCTCTTATCATAGGAAGAAATTGCAATCAATCAGAAACAGAGAATCTCAGTTCCAAAGTGAATCGCTTCCTCCCTCAAGTGGTGGACTGAATCATCCTTTAAGATTCCAACAGTGTGTCCAGTATCAGAACTGGTGAAATTCATGATCACCATCACAGCAAACTTTCATACATGGGGAGCATTCCTCAACAGGACAGTGGCTCACGGGACTTTGTCCAGTTTGGAGAAGAAGAGGTATATAAATGAGCTAGAGCTCAGGATCATCAGGCTAACCCTCCTCTACTTTTAAAAGCCAGTCCACCAGCATTGTGTATCTCACAGCTGATGACACCACTACAGTTGCACATATCAGCCAACAAGGAACTAAATCTTCCTCCGTCCACAAGGAAGTGATACATCTGTTGACTTTGTCAGAGAGTTATCTTCCCCCCTCTAAGCTATCCACATAAAGGCTCAGTAGGAAGGACCTGGAGCTTGAATCTTTCTCTATTTCAGGAGGTGTAGAAAAAGTTCAGGCTCCAATCACAGATCTTTGCCTCAAGGGAAGGAATCAATGTTCTGTCTCAAAGGTGGCCCTAATGCTTACTTTATGGCTTTCTCCACGTACCTCTACTGGCAAGGATGAGAAAAAAGATACTAAAGGAAAAGGCCACCATACTCTTGATTGACTCATATTGGCCCCACAGCTAGTAATTTTCAGCTTTGGAAGCCATCATTCTGGGATTCTCCACAGGTGGTGATCTTGGCCCCTAGCTGTGCGTGAATCTTTGTTCTGCCTCCAACCTTTGGAGGAGGGAGAATGCCGCACCGTACAGACTGCTGGACACGGTGGGTCTTAGAAAAATCACAGATAAGAACAAAGTTTTCCTTTCTTAAAGTTGGTATGCTGCTGAGTGAGGACCAGATAACTATACTATTGCTTTATCATAGAGTAATACCTCCTCGTTGAGATTTTTATTAAATATGGAATTTTTATTTACCAGGATTAGTGGGAAATAACGTGTGCGCTCTGCATTCCTATAGAACAGGCTGTGTATAACAGACCACAACCCGCTGACAAAACACGATCCAAAGAAGGCAAAGACACCATAGAAGCATACCAGCTTGCTCAGCGTTTGCAGTCCATGGTAAGATGAAAATAAAAAGTTGCATGTGTCAGTGATAGGGCCTCTTCAACTTTCACTTTCGATACAGGGCATCTCTCTGAATTTCTTCTTAACCCATTCAGCTTCAATCACTTTCCTGAGCGTTCTTTGAGTCAAGTGTCTGCTTTAGCACCAGTGTTACTCTTTGTCAGACCTGTCCTAATTACTATTCTATTGACAGAAAAGAAAATCCATATATGAAATAAAAAATGTTATGCAGAAAGCATGAGCCATACTCAATACTGTTTGCATCACGATTTGCAATTATTTACCAGTGTACTTAGTCTTGGCAGTATTCGATTTAAATTGATGTCCATAAATGTTGATTTCAGCTGACACACTGAAATTGATGAAAAAAATATCCATAAGTAACAGCTGATGCAAGTGCAGCCTCCCGCTCCTGCACCTTGTGCTTGCAGGAATTGGGTAGTATTGGGTCTGTGGCACCATAGATTGAGCCTTCTGCAGTGGTGCTGTTATGGGAGTGAGTGGGTCTTGACAGCGAAGCTGCAGAGAGCTTCTTGCATGGCTGATGATGCTTGATCCCTGCAGGTGCAGGGAAGGCTGAAGTCCTGCTTGGGGGCAGGGCCGTTTGGCAACAGTATGGTTTCCTTGTAGCTGGCAGCTCATCTTCCACCTCCCCTTGTGGTCCTGTCTGGGTGTTTCTGCTCTGCCCTGCCATGACCGCAGCCTTCCCCACACCATGCGCCTGCAGGGAATGGGTGTCACCTGTAATGTGGCAGCACAGGGAGCCACCTACAGCTCTGTTGTCACGGCCCTGCTCACTCATTCACTCAGCAACCAGGAGTGCGGGGGCTGTTCTGGCAGGAATTGTGGCCTTCCCTGCAGCCAGGGGCTCGTCATTGTCCTTGGAGCCTTAGCTAAGGGTCTTTGTTTCTCCAGGCCTCCCTGGTACCTAGCGCCTCAGTGTCTTGGGCCCCTCGGCCACACAAGGAGCCCCATGTAGACGTAGTGTCAGTGCTGGCCTAACTCCAACTCTATCCTCCCACCGCCCAATTTCCCATAACTGTAAAAATAAAAACTCTTAAAAATTTAAAAATAAAAATCAATATTTCTTGAAATTGGAAAAAAAGAGAGAAATCTTCCAAGTCCACATATAATAAACCATGCTGTTTGTACTAGCTGGATGGATCCATGGATCTTTACTCAGGTATTTACTGTACCGCTTAAGGAAAACCTTTCCGGATTTATTTCTAGAAAGGTTGCCAACTGTTGAGTATAAACCAAAGTAAAGAGTTCTGTGTTATTCAGTGGGATTGTTGTGGGAGTCATAATGCTTATGAGCCACTGGCCATTTGGATGTCATTTTATGGCTGATTAAATTCAGCAAATGTCAGTGCTTTGACGTGCATGGATTGATGATGTTTGACTAGTATTTTATCTTCTTCCTACAGCGTACAAGAAGACGGCGTGTGCGAGACCCCTGGGGAAACTGGTGTGATGCCAAGGATTTAGAAGGACAGACATTTGAGGTAACTCTTGTATTTTTAAACTGTTCTGGTAGATATGGTTCTTGCTAACCATTTATCAGATGGTATCTCATCAAAGGCAGTAGAAAAAATGATTGCATAATAAGCATTAAAATTACATTTGTTCTTTTTGAAACCATGATTTGAAAATAATATTGGAGCAACTGTTAGGCAACTGTGCTAATATCATGGTGAATGTACTTTTGAGTATGCATGTCCCAAACTCGTACAGCTATACTATAAAGCATACACTATGTCATGGCATGGCCATAATGTTTCTTATTTTAATTTGCAGATTTCATCAGTCTTACTCTCATTCAGTGAAAAGTTGCTCTTCATTTCACATCATATAAATCTTTTGTTTATAAAAAATGTAGCTTTAATTCAACATTAAGGTTGAAATATCAAGCATTCATAAATCTGGAAAAGCAGAGTTAAGGCTGGGAGCTGAGTTTGTGCTCTTTTGTGCTTATACCTTACAATATGGTGGCTCTTTATTCCAAATTGTCAACAATAAGAGTATGAGTTTATCTTAAAAAAAAAAAAAAAAAAATGTTTTTCAGATTGCTTATTTTAAACATTCTTCGTAACAAATAAAACTTATTTGATGCTTGCCTTGCTTTGTAGATCTTTTATAGTGACTTCAAAAATAAACCAACCTGAAGACTATGTACTATGTTACACAGTTTTTTTACATCACATACTGAGTTTTATATGTTGCACAAGAAAGAGAGAGGTGATAGATGTGTGACTGACCAGTTCCCACCTTTACCCTGGGTTTTTAGCTCTAAGACAGTGGGGGCTTTATAACAGTTTCAGTGAGTGGTTATCTTGGGGGAAAAAATAGAGCGTTTGTGATGTACCTCGGAAGAACTGTTTTAGTTGACTAGACCTAGCAGTCATGGTTTCAGTCCTGATTCTTACACTGTTTACTGTGACTTTATTAAGGCTAGCTGAGGTGGAAAGAAAATTTAGGCCTTTTAGGTTTCCAGCCCTGTATTTATTCCTCTAGGGATAGAGTTCAGGAAATGTGAACAGTGCCATCCCCGCCATTCCCCTCCCCAAAATTGTATGATATCCCAAACTGTAAGATTTTCCAGAGTTTTTTGAAGTGTTTGCAAGTTTAGAAGACACTGAAGTACTTCGCAGAGCCATCAACATTCAAAGTCAATTTAGACTAAACAGAAAATTGTCTACTGTGCATCCACACTCCTAGTGTTCTAAACCTTAGAATGAGCAGAGAAACTTAACAGATAATCCTACTCTTTCTGTGTGGAGAAAAATGTGTGACATTAATGACATCAAAATTACTGAACAACTTTCTTTCAAACTCAATTTGTTTATTAGATCTCATTGAAACCTAGAGAACACATGCAGTTTAAACAAAATCCACTTTTCTGCCATTGAGTTATGTATGTACAAAATGTCACTCACAAGACAGCCACACTTCATGATTGAGGCAAGCATGGGCTCTAATAACTAAAACGTTTCAATGGCTTTGGCTGCTGCATCTACCATTTCCTGCAAAGAATGATCTTTAGGTTGAGACAATGTGGAAAATTTCAGCACCAAAGAGGAACTGCTTTGAGAAAGTTTTGACCAGCTGATTATAATGGAGGTGGTACTTGCACATACATTTGACAGTGAAGGCTTGTGTGAGATGTGGATGCCATTACTTGAACTCTGACTAGATCAAGCCTTGGGGGATGATAGGAAGAGTCTCTTCCATCTTCCTGCAAAAACAGATCTATGTCCTAATGTCTCTGTCACTATTTTCACACTGCACGGTATATTCTGGCTGCTTCAGTGCATGATGAGTGATCCAATAACAAAAGCTGCTAGCATGGCAGGGTGCAAATTAGTGCCCAGAATCTAGGTATTTTGAAGGAGCTTGGCAATCATTACTGATAAAATTTGTTTTTTTAGCATCTCTCTGCTGAGGAGCTAGCAAGAAGGAGAGAGGAGGAGAAACTTAAACCTGCGAAACCTTCTAAAGGATCAAGACAAATAAAAAGGTTTTCTTCTTGTGTGCTGTTTGCTCTACAATATCTCTTTTGGAAATAGAGATAATAATTGGCTTGCATAGATTCAAACCTAAATGTTGTGAATCATTACTATGTAGACATATGTGCTTTGCAATCTAGATTTTTTAAAAGTCTGACATCACAGTTGTAAATTACAAAACTTTACCATTGAAATTCATGGGTGTAAATCGCAAAATTCCAGTAATTGGGGAGCAGTCACTGGAGTGGGGGAATGAGCAATTCCAACAAAAAAGGAGCTGTTGGGAGAAAATGTGATTTATTTAAAGACTTTTTTTCATTGATTGTCCTTATCTTTAGAGAAATTTTCTTTCATTTTGTAGTTCCTTTGATCCCTTTCAGCTGATACCTTGCTGTTTCTTCACTGAAGAAAAACGAGTAAGTACATATTCATGAATAATCAAGAACATTCATTTATTTACTTACAGGATGTCTCTGGTACTCATTATTGTTTGTCATTTCAGGAACCATTTCAGGTGAAAGTGGCTTCAGAAGCACTTTTAATAATGGACTTGGTAAGGATTAAGCATTGTTTTATAATGGACTGAAGTATATATTTTGATATAGCCCCACTTTTCTCATTAGTTTCCTTCCCATTGAGAACTAAAAGTAAGAGTCTACTACAGGAGAAATCCCAAACTGCTGCATCTCTTTAGGGTTGTGTCTGTATATTTTACTGTAATAATAACCATAGTTTATGAAAGTTGTCTACCAACATGAATGGCTGTTAATGCCTATTCTTGTTCCAGATGAAGTCACTGGAGAGTTGTCACTGACTTAAATAAGAGTAGTATCAGATCCGTACGCAGTTCCATTTCTCCCAGGATATCCATCTTCTGTGATAGCAGTTGCTCCAAAAGAAACATCTCTTCAGTGTGCATGTTGCCACTTTGGAATCCATTGGGATCATTACTCTATTTGCCTAGCATTCCAGAAGATGATTCAGTATTTGCGTATTCCCTTTATAATAACAAAGTATGCCAGGCCAGGCCAAAGTCTTCTCAGTTTTGACACAGCATTCCTGGTGTTAAATGGTGACAGTTTCTCCAACTAAGAGCACCTCATACATACTTAATACTTAGATGGGTGGCAAAGATAATCTTTATTTATTTACTTTAAATTGAAACACAAAGTATTTCAGAGTCTTTATTGTTCTCAGTTTTCCTTCTAAACCTTACTGTGAAAGAACCTGTGAAGACAGTGTTTTATAATGTAAATCCAAGATTAGCAGCAGTTATGAAAATGGATATTTTAACAAATATTTTAAGTAATGTGTTCATATTATATATCTTTAGCATGCTCATGTTTCTATGGCAGAAGTAATAGGCCTGTTAGGGGGAAGATACTCTGAAGCTGATAGAATTGTTGAAGTAAGTTGTTGGGTTTTTTTGTTGTTTTTTTTTTTTTGGGTGGTGGGGGGGGTCAGTGTTCATTCTGCATTTCACTAAAAGTATTGGTTAAATGCCTTATATTAAAAAACATGTATTCAAGAGTTAATGTCCTACAGATTATTGAATTAGTTGTTCTTTAATATTAAAAAGTTGAAATTTGAAAAGTTAATTATTGTAATCTTGACATTACAAAATTTAAGATCTTGTAAAAATATCTGGCTGTCATATCTCTTCTACGTTTGCATAAAATAATTTAGTATTTAACATTGATTTATGATTGGTTTAAATGTTTTCACTCTGTTTCCATTTCTACATATGGGGATGTTATTTACAGATTTGTGCAGCAGAACCATGCAATAGTCTCAGTACAGGACTACAGTGTGAGATGGATCCAGTGTCTCAAACTCAGGCCTCAGAAACCTTGGCTGTTAGAGGGTACAGTGTTATTGGGTGGTACCACTCTCACCCTGCATTTGACCCCAACCCTTCGATACGAGATATTGACACGCAGGCTAAATACCAGGTACTCTTTGTGTGTATGTTAAAAAAACTTTTCATTTCTAGTATTTATCATTTAATATGCTTAATGCAGTAATGGTTCTGGGTTTCACAATTGAAAATCATTTTGGTTGTAAATTGATTTTTAGCTTTACAGTGTCTTACAGTGGTTAATTTAGAGATTGTTTAATTGTTTACCTTCTGTTTTTTTAATATAAAAGATAGTCGGAAGAGGAGTTTGTATTGCACTTAGAAAATATATTACCAATTTTATTTTTTCCTTCATTTAGAGTTATTTCTCCAGAGGTGGGGCAATGTTCATTGGAATGATCATAAGTCCTTATAACCGAAATAATCCTCTTCCATATTCCCAGATTACTTGTCTGGTTATTAGTGATGAAATTAGTTCTGATGGCTCATACCGTAAGTATCTGAACTAATTACTTTTACCCCACTCCTCTTGATCCTCCAGGATTTTAGATGGAACATTTATATTCTCAACATTTGAACAAGGGTTTGAAGGATTCTCTCATCTCTGAAGTTGGGCAGCTTTCCCTGGCAAATGGAGGGGCTTAAACCATCAGTTCCTGCATAATCTCACTTTCACTTTAAAAAACCATTAGTATTTTGTGACCTCATGACTGTAAAGAAATACTTCTAAGTATACAGAGATCTAGTGTTGTCCTCATGGCTGCATACAGACATGTATTGTCTCTGTTGCTGCTCATAGGTTTCCCAAATCACAGCCAAGTGAAGTTATCAAGACTGGTCAGTTTCTCTCTTGGTATTCAGAACTCTGTGGACACCAGTGAAACCCTTAAGAATTATGTCACTTTCACTCTGCTGCTTCAGAAAACTATGAGCAGACATAGGGTGGTCCTCCTCCCTCCATGCCTATCACAGAGATCTAGAAAGAGGGGTGGAGAAGCAAGGAGGAGAGATTGATGAAGGGGTAGAATAACATGAGGCTCCTTTTCAGCAGTTGGGAATTTGGTGTGCAAAGGGGGTTCACGCTAATCATACCTATCAGCCAGAGGTTAATATGAAAAGATGTAGTCCTAAACAGATTACGGGATTGATAACTTGGCAGGAATCCCAGCTCTCTTCCCCTTTCCAGCAGTACAGAATGGGCTACTTATAAGGATGTTGCCCATAGACCTTGCAGGTTTGCTCCATTCCACCCAGTCTCACATATCAACTCTGATTGGTAGGTTTATTCTTTTGGCTAGTAAGTATCCCTTAAATTTATCAATTCTTGACTTGGATATTTTGATAACTAATAAATAGCATGTAGGGAGGCAAAATGTTGATGGAAAAACCCACTAACACCTCACAGAAGAATCTGAATCCCATTCCACGAAGACACCTTTCATTTAGCCTTTCATTTATTTTCATCTCATGTCCCTTTTTAAAAAAATTACTTAGAGACACTTTGTAAAAAAAAAAAATTACAAGGACTATAAGAATTGATCTGTTTCCTGTGTTTACTCCCTTGCTGATCTGAGGCAAAGTCACAGGATAGCAGTCCATTAGTAGAATTAATTTTTCCTGTTCCACAGTTCATAAATGCTGCCCCCTAACTCAGCCTTTGCCTCCAAACATCAGGGACTTGAATCTTGCAGTGTTGGGGAAGACAGATAGATCTGACACTTCCCTCATGTTTTATAATGGCCTGTAGTGAGGACAGACCAACCACCTGGAATGTGCTTCCCAGTGCTGTGGGCAGAGTGTCGATGACCTTTTTGTGGTACTCCTTGATTATCATACTGACAGCGTCACATAGAGTCACCCTGGTCCTGCCATCTTGACTTTCCTATGACTTAGAGCTAAAGTGCCCGTGACTGATACCTGGCCTTAGTTGTTGTCGTCTTTTTGTTACCGTAAATTGTGGAGACAACTTGTTTTCAGGTGGCAAATAGACATAGTACAAGTAGTAAATACATTTTTCTTAAATGTAACCTTTTGGAAATCAAACACTGGCATCTTATATGGAATATTAACTATGTGGCCACCTTCCCAGTTAGTACATATAGAAACATAATTCATACACAGGTCTTAAAAAACAAATCTGTTTCTTTCTGTACAATTGTTCCTGTTAATTAAATAAATCACAATATTAGATACATAGTATATTTTTCTGTGTCTTATGTGATGCCTCAGTGATTCCGTAAGGGTTTGCGAAGCACTCTAATAATTGCATTATTCATTGGGGTTTTTTTTTTCATATTTAACTCTGGTGCAGCTATGTTCTGTTGTGGCAAAAATATGTGAGTTCATGGGAAATGGACAGAAATTGAAGTTTCACATCAGTGATAACTATTTGAGTGGATGAACATTCTTGCTCTTGAAAGTCCATTTTGCACTGACTGAACATTTTTTCAAATCTGAGGTGTTTTCACATAGTAAATTGTAGGTATTGCCTTCTTTTTCTTTGAGGTTTTGAATGAAGGTGTGCGAATCAGCTCATCATATTCTTGTGGTCCTGAAAAGGCTTATTTTTAATGTTTACTAGAATTTACTGTCTTCACTCAGGTTATCTGGTAACTGATTTGTGGGCTAGTAGTCATCCTCTTGCATTCTATGTATATTGCTTTTTAGGTTGGTTCATCTGTGCCCATCCTCAGTAATGTAACTAGAAGTTTTAAAACTGAATTTCTTGCTTAGAAACTTAACTTTCCTTACTCTCTCTTACCCTCCCCCCAAACTCAGGTAACAGTCCGTCACCATAGTATCAGCCACCACACCTTACTTGTGAATAAAAAAGAATACATATTACCCATGTGGTTTAATCCACAGGGAACACTGGGACACTAGCCAAGAGATGAGAAATGTGACCTTAAAAATAAAAAAAAGGGGAGATAAATTATAAAATGTTTAGTTTTGCTGTTTTACTATTCTTTTGCAGAGATATTTTGTTTCGAAAGTTTAACCCCAAACAAAAATGTGGTATAATTTAATGAAAAAAAACTGTTTTTCTACCAAACTTAAATTTGAAGCCTTAAACTAGCTGACAGTGTCACTTCAACCTGCTTAGTTTTGGTAAGTAATAGGTTTGCAAGTTATTGTTGCTGCAACAAGCATAAGTAAATTATGAACAGTTGCAAGGAAGGAAGGAGATTGCTTCCAGATTTGAAGAGGAGTGGCAGGTATAAGGGAACCAGGGAGTAATCATGTTTTAATGATTTACAGGCCTGCCTTACAAGTTTGAAGTACATCAGATGTTGGAAGAACCTCAGTGGGAATTAGTGTTTGAAAAAACAAGATGGATAATCGAAAAATACAGGCTCTCTCCTAGGTATGTGTGTGTGTTTGCTTGCAATATACTTGTTTTTAAGATAAGCCAATTTACAATTTTTATGTATTTATTATTAGTATTTCAGTAGAAAACAGATTTGTCCATTTCATCCAACCAAGACTTTTTATATTTCTTCCAATAGCAGTGTCCCCATGGATAAAATCTTTCACAGGGATTCTGACCTGACCTGTTTGCAAAAAGTAAGCATTTAAATTTTTAAATTGTCATTTCTTTTGGAGTAATCTGAAACATCTATAATCTTAGCTATGAAAATCACAATTTTAGGTCAGTTGCAATAAATATCTTTTATATTGCAGCTCATAATTTTATTTACCATAACTATGAAAATAAGGTTGTGTTATGTTTCCAAACTTGCTGTTGACTTCATTTTTGGAGTTGAGGCCAATGATTAAAGCAATATTTGAAGTTTTAACCTTAATTAAAAGGGGGAAAAAAGCAAATTATTTCCTCTTCTCTGCTTGTTTGACTGCTATTAATGTCAACAAGAGTTGTTGCACATTGAGAGAATTAGTCTCCTAAGTCCTTTATCCTATTCTTAAAATGGTGTTGCACCATATTTGTCGTGCATACGTGAGAATTTGTTTTCCAATCAGTGTAATCATTTTTATGAAGTTCTAAATAATTGAATATGTAACATTAATTGTATAAACAAGACAGAAAATTTGCTCAAAGCAAAAGTCATATAAACAGAAGACATGCAATAATTACTCTCATTTATTTTTTTCTCTCAACATGACTGTTCATAAACAATTTAAATCTAAAATTGAATTGGCAGAAAGATCTTTTGAATTTAACTATTGTATGATTTATGGTGAAGAATCCTGTGCATAATTGTCTATAGAATAATGCAAGTCCTGTGTTGCAAAGATTATTATTTCATAGCCAATTATTGAACACAAACTGATCACTAGCTAATGTCAGAAATAATTGTTCCCTTAAGCACAGTTGATCCAGTTGTGCTTGGCTTTCCTCTGAAGCAGTTGGTATAGGGAACTATCTGAGTCAGGGCCCCAGACTAAAAGGGATCACTGATCTGTTTCTTTATGGTAATCTCTGTATACACTTTTTATATTAATAGTTTCTGCAAACTTGCCAAATGAATCAAGGTTTACTTTTACAGCATTTATCAGCTAGAAAGACAAAACAGTTTCTTCAGTTTTTTCTACTGAAACTTCTAAGTTGAGCAGTTATGTGTTTCTGAATTTAATAATAATTTTCTTTTATACTAGCTTTTGGAGTGTATGAGGAAGACTCTGGGCAAGGTAACGAACTGCTTCATTGCTGAAGAATTCTTGACTCAGATAGAAAACTTATTCCTTTCTAGCTACAAAAGTGAGAAGCAGAATAATACAACTGAAGAAAATAAGAACATGTCCCCAAATGAATTGCCAGTGTGATGGCTTTTTCAGTGTTGAAATTTCAGTTGTATGGACTAATATCCATTGTTCCTCTTTCAAAGTTATTGTCTCAGTTGACAACAATAGGGACATAATCCAGTATTTCAAATAGTGTAATGGTTCTAAAAGACATTTAGAAAACCTCTAACAAATGTTTTCTGATTACATATGAAATTTTTATTTTTTACATTCTGAAAAATTATCGAATAGTATCACAAACTTTGGGTTATCAGTTGGCCAGCAACCTATCATTGGGAAGGACAAGCTGAAATACAGAACACTGGTTTTGTGCCTAAAGGAGAGGGTCCCTCCTCTAAGTCTTTGAAAATGGAATTTTGGCCTTCATTCTGTCCTCAGATACACATTGTATTGAGAGTTAGATGTGTACATCAGAGGGAAGAATTTGTCCCGTAGTGCTTTGTGTCATCTGTATTTGCATAATTCTGCAGATGAGATGTATACCACTCTATCACTGCAAAGATTATAGTCTAGTTGATACTAATTTTCCTGGTATCTACTCTAAACTTTTTCTCTGCTCAGTTTAATCCATTCTGTTTCTTTCTGACCCACTACAGACAATTTTTTTCTGGCATATCCTTCCCCACCTTCCATAATACATGGAAATAAGGGTAGCAGGTCATACTTATTTGTCACTTCTTGTTGTCACTGTTTTCAGTGGAAACAATAAGTTCTGGTTATTGCATGTTGCACTCTTTCCTTTCTATCTTCCATGTTACAGAGACACAGTGCTATCTTGTTCTATCAGATCATCATGATTTGTCATTTTCAGTTGCCATTGTTTCGAATGGAAACAATAGCTTCTGGTTCTCACAGGTTAATGCGATATGGCAAAATCTAGCGCTGTATTGTAGCCGCCAGAAAAATGTTTGTCGCAACTGCATAACAGAAAAGAAAATGAAGTGTACATGTGTCTCTTTACAATAGCAATTTAACAAGTAACTACAATGTTCATATTGGCTTCTGATACAATTATACATTCATACAATTATATATTCAGATAAATTAGTGCCAGGTAAGCAGAATGATTTGTAATTGAATCTCAAGAGAAATACTGTTATCGGAAATCGTAACTTCTAAACATATTATTGGCTGTATCACGGTGTGTAAATTGTTGTAGAAGGATATGCAGTGGTGGATTTCTTCCTGAATCATGGGCAAACTGTTGATGAGTGTACACTTACCACTGTATGTGAAGAATATCTTGGCCAAAATGTCTGAGATGTTTGAAAACAGAGAGTAACCAAGAACTTTGATTATCCCTGTGTTTATGGGATCTAGTCACCCTATAAAATGTACATTTTAATTTTCTATCTGGCCCTGTGTAACAAAAATGCGATTTAAAGTATTTCAGATTTACATCTTAACTTCATCTTGTTCTGTGCGCTTAGGGGGAAAAAAAAACTATTTTAACAATTAAAAGTGAGGATTGCAAAACTTTAATATTGTGGGATCACATCCCAAGTAGATACCTGTTTCCAAGAAGGTAAAATCAGCTGTTGTTGTGTTTTTTAAAATGGAGTTTAGTCCCTTTTCATTTCAAAATGGACAATGCAGAACCTAATTTTAGAAAAAACATGGACATACATAACTAGAAACTCTTCCAGGCTGTATTCAAGACCTATTGTCTTAATAATATTAGAGAACTTTTTGCACTGTGTAAATCTGCAGATAAGAGGCTTTGGATTCTAGTGTGATATGTAAAGTCCATCAGTTTAAAAGCAGTGCAATCCTTATATACGTATACACGCACACATTGATCCAATCTGTGGACCTTTTATTTCCCCTAGATTGCATGTAATGTGAAATGCCATCTCTCTCCTCTTTCTTAAATGAAAGTATTGCATGGCTCTCAGTATTTCTAGCTGTAGACTACACATCTTGCTCACAAAAGAGATTTCCCATCTCCCTCAGTTTAAATTTTGGAGTATTCCTTTATCAAGTATTGTTGCAGTTTTCAGTGGTTTTATACGTTACTCTATAAAAAAGTCATATTGTATATATCTATACTAAAATACATTGTAAATAGTTATTTGTAGAAACAAAATCATTTGTCAAAATACTTGAACCACGAGTATAACTGCAGTACGTGGTAGACGTCGTGTCTTTGTTCTGGGTGTTATGTTTCCCGTCACTTTAAAAAAAAAAAAATACTGTGAGACAGTACTGCTAAAATAATGGAAACTAAGTTTGCTGGTTGCGCTGCCCCCTTTTGAATGATTAAAGTGAGCAAAAAACATTAAAAATGATGTACACCTGATTTAAAAGAGTCATATATACAGTGTCAACTAAGACGTTTTGGGTACAGGATGTTTTAAATTGTAGAGTCTGAGTCGCTCTGACTTGCACATCAACACTCCGATCCTGCAATCCCATTCTCATGAGTGGACTCTTGTGCGTGCCCAGAGACCTGTTCACTCAGTTACAAGTAGAATTAGGGTCCAAATTTGCTCAGTATACTTGTAGAAAAAATGGTTTTAACTGCTATTGGTGCACACTTAATCCTGGATCTAAAATCCAAGCTGTTTTTTTTCTGGTTCGTGCATTGTAGCCAGTAATAAATGTATTTTGTTTCACGGGCAGTAATTGGTCCAGTAAAAGTTATTACTTTGCCCATCTTCTCCCTGTCATATCCTGGGACCATAAGGCTACAACAACACTGCAAACAAGTAATAAGTGCAGCATTTGTAGTAATAGTTAACAGTTGTATGTATGTGAACCAGAAGAGAACGCAGTTCACTCTTCCTTAGTGTTGTCAGCTATGCAGTGCTAATATGACTTTAAAAAATAGTAAAAGCATATCTTTCTCACTCTGACTTGAAACACGGATAGGGAATAATTTCTTTTTACTAAGAAATCTCTATTTTTTTACCCAGACATTTTTCTGACAAGCACCATGTTTTCAGTATGACTGCTAGAGTGTGCTATTTAATCTTTTATAACCTGTCCTATTTTGCCATGATCACTTGCTCAGAAGAGAGAAGAAAATAGTAAGCAACATCTTAGAAGACCCAATTTAAACTGAAATACTCAACAACTAAAACCAAGTTGACCGAAGTACTTTAAATTGAATCTGTCTTGATGCTATGATCAGCTGAGCTCACTGCAATATTATGAAACACCTCTCCTTTGGGAAATGAAAATGACAAGCTCTCTTCATCCACTGTATATGTTGTAACTACCATGAATCCTGTGTGTGTGCACTGAGTACATATATACTTACATGTGTATTTGGCTGTTGTTCTAAGTTTTAAAGACCCAATTGTTTGCAGTATTTATTCACAGGGCTTTATACCATGTACTTCACTTGTACATCAATATCTTAAAAACCCCAAAATAAATAAGAAGTTAATTTCCTAGGAAAACTGTTTAAGTTGAAGGAATTCATGCACAGTACTGTCATTGCCCATGAGAAGTTATTCACGTTTACATGTTGCTCAGACATGGTTAGTATTCCTGGTAGCTATTTTTAGAATGTTCTTTCACTGAAAGATTGTGTATCAAGTAACCCTAGAGCTGTATTATGTGTTTGTAATAGTTCCCTTTCTCTTGAAATAACTTAAGAATTGGCAATGAAGCACAAATTAGCACTAAAAATGATGTGATTCACATAAGTTTGATAAGCACCAGTAGATGGAGCTCTGTTACACTGATATATTTAACTAAAAATATAATACTTTAATATAGCATTTCCCACCTGAAGATATTAGTGTTTTTGGAATGTTAGTTAGGCCTGATTGTTCCTTCTTTCCACCAATCCCTTCCCATAAAATCTTTGAAGTTTTTGTACTACATTAAAAACTGAGTGTGAGAGAAGGGGAATCAGAAACACACTTGGTTCTAATATGCTATCGCCCTGATTGCTTTGTTTCGATAGTGTATCAATTCTCTCCACCTTCTATTTACTTTTTGTCTTTTTAGAATATAAGGTAATTGGGGCATGGGCTGTCTTTTGTATAGCGCCTAGCACAGTGGGACCCTGATTCTGATCAGGGCTTATTATGGGTGCTACTGCAATGTAAATAATTACAGTAATGATGGAAGTGTTCCCATTTTATAGATGGCACAGAGATCATGGAGACTTGCCTAGGGTCTAAGAAGTCGATCTTTGGTATTTATATGACCCCTATCACCGTAGTATCTGAGCACCTCACAATCTTTTTAATGGATTTATCCTAACACCCTTGTGAGGTAAGAAAATGCTATTATCATCATTTAACAGATGGGAACTGAGGAACAGAGAGGCTAAGTGATTTGCTCAAGGTCACATAAGAAGTCTGTGGTAAAGCAAGTGATTGAACTGCAATCTCCCAAGTCCTAGGCTAATGCTCAAACCATCGGACCATCCTTCCTCAAGCATGTAATAGAGGCAGGAACCGAACCCTGTTCTCAAGACTCCCAGTCCTGGGTGGGAATTCATTAAATGAAATTGAGCTGATCTGAAATAAGAGTTTTGTCCCAAGCTGGGTGAGACGACATCAAGAAATCATTCTATCCAGTGTGTATAAGACAAATTATTAACTGGTTATTAGTTTTTATGGGCTGTAGATTGGGATAGTTTTGCTTCTTTCATTTAGTCTTTCATTCTTTTGACTGTCTTCTTTGGAAAGTTATCCTGTAATCCTTTAGGGCAGGTCTGATTGGGGTGATAGATAATAGATACATTTTCCATGATGGTCTTTTTTCACCAGGAAGTAATCCTGGCATAAATTCGGCTGATCTAACTGGGAACTGGATCAGGGAAGAAGGTATAGGAGTTGTGGAGTGGAAAGAGACAAAGATAGAAGGAAAGCCGCACTGGGAGAGGGCAAAGCATACCACAAGAAGGAATGTAGAGGCAATGATGCACCAATGGGTCTGAAAAGGGAAAGGGAAGCCTACTGTGCTGTTACCGCTGATTGCCGAATAAGCCAGGAAAGGAAATATGTTTGCAGGGTGTTTTCATATAGTTCCATAGATTCAGCGCTATGGCAGTAGGTGGTTGTGAACTCTGAAATTCTGTTTGATGCTGAACAAAGTATTTAGTGGCCTAGATTAAAATATTCTGGTCATTTGTATTGGAAGTGTCTTGCTGTTTAATATAGACCCTAGTGCCCTATGTCTGAGATTTAGAAGCAGGAAGAGAAAGTGTTCCCATGGAAGCAGAAAACATTGCAGAAATAATTCTGTGTACATTTCCTACAAGATTAGTTAGTTAGTTAATTAGCATTTGCTGAACTAAATGGTTGATTCTTTTAGTACCTGGGCTTATTCTAGTATGGGTCCAAAAGAGGAAACTTGGATGGTTTTATGACAGAGAGAAGGCACATCAGATACTGATTTTTTTTTGAGATAAAAATCTTAAATGAAGCAGTTTTTCTGTCCCCTCTTCTATCCCCACTTACATGCAGCAAAATTTTGTGCAGTGGTCTGATTATTTTGGTACGTTATGTAAATCTATCATGAAAGTTAAAAATAGAATTCTCCCCTTCCCCAGACTGTTTTGCATCTCAAGGAGTTTGGCTGATGTGTCCGTCACTGATTACCTCTTCTGTCCCATAATGTTACGGGGCAAAATATTTCTGCACCTGGCCACCTACTGATGGGGGAGGCAACAAATGTAATTTTCAATATAATAAATGACAAAGGCAATAAAGATCTTCCCACAGGTAGGGGGCTAGACTATCAGTAGTTCCACCACTGCTGTACTCCTCCAGTATCAGGCATCTTTTCCAGTTATCTGTAGCTCTCCTGTCTATGTGACCTTGGGCAAACCACTTAACTTCTTTGTGTTTCAGTTTCCTTACCTGTAAAATGGGGATAATACCTACCAATAAAATCTGGCATAAGGGTAAGTCCATTAATGTTTCTACACAGCAGCTAGACACCCATAGCTGGCCCGGGCTAGCCGACTCGGGCTTGGGCTTGGGCTGTGGAGCTGTTTCATTGCTGTGTAGACTTCCGGACTCAGGCTGGAGCCCTTGCTCTAGGACACTGCAAGGTGGGAGGGTTCCAGAACCTGAGCTCCAGCCCGAGCCCTGAAGTCTATACAGCAATGAAACAGCCCTGAGGCCCAAGCCCTCCAGGCCTGAGTTGGTGGGTATGGGCCAGCCGTGAGTTTTTCTTTGCTGTGAAGACATACCCTTTGAGATCATTGGATGATATATATGAGCAAAGTATTATTAAAAAGTGGCAGAACGCTACATTTATACGGCACTTTACAAACTCATAAGAGCAGCCATACTGGGTCAGACCAAAAGATCATCTAGCCCAGTATTGTGTCTTCCGACAGTGGCCAATTCTAGGTGCCCCAGAGGGAATGAACAGAACCGGTAATCAAGTGATCCTTTCCCTGTTGCCCATTCCCAGCTTCTGGCAAACAGACACCATCCCTGCCCGTCCTGGCTAATAGCCATTAGTGGAGCTATCCTCCGTGAACTTATCTAGTTCTTTTTTGAACCTGGTTATAGTCTTGGCCTTCACAACATCCTCTGGCAAAGAGTTCCACAGACTGACTGTGTGTTGTGTGAAAGTATACTTCCTTTTGTTTGTTTTGTCAACTATCAAACTTGTCAACTATCTTGAGTAGTTTTGTATCATTTGCAAATTTTGCCACCTTATTGTTTACCCCCTTTTCCAGATCATTTATGAATACGTTAAATAGGACTGGGCCCAGTACAGACCTGTGTGGGATACCACTATTTCCCCCCCTCGATTCTGAAAACTCACCATTTATTCCTACCCTTTGTTTCCTATCTTTTAACCAGTTACTAGTCCATGGGAGGACCTTTCCTCTTATCCCATGACAGCTTACTTTGCTTAAGATCCTTTGATGAGGGACCTTGTCAAAGGCTTTCTGAAAATCTAAGTACACTATATCCACTGGATTACTCCTTGTCCACATGCTTTTTGACCCCCTCAGAGAATTCTAGTAGATTGTTGAGGCATGATTTCCCTTTACAAAAACCATGTTGACTACCCCCAACAAATTACATTCATCTATGTGTCTGACGTTTTTGTTCTTTATTATAGTTTCAACCATTAAACTGGTACTGAAGTCAGGCTTACTGGCCTGTAATTGCCAGGATCACCCCTGGAGCCCTTTTTAAAAGTTGGTGTCATATTAACTATCCTCCAGTCATTTGGTACAGAAGCTGATTTAAATGATAGGTTGCAGACTAGTTAGTATTTCTGCAGTTTCACGTGAGAGTTCTTTCGGAATTCTTTGGTAAATACCATCTGGTCCTGGTGACTTATGACTGTTTAGTTTATCAATTTGTTCTAAAACCTCCTCTAATGACACCTCAATGTAGGACAGTTCCTCAGATTTGTCACCTAAAAAGAACGGCTCAGGTTTGGGAATCTCCCTCATATCCTCAGCCATGAAGACTGATGCAAATAATTCATTTAGTTTCTCCGCAATGGCCTTATCGTCCTCGAGAGCTCCTTTAGCATCTCAATCATCCAGTGTCTCCACTGGTTGTTTAGCAGGCTTCCTGCTTCTGATATACTTTAAAAAAAAATTCTATTACTTTTTGAGTCTTTGGCTAGCTGTTCTTCAAATTCTTTTTTGACTTTCCTAATTATGTGTTTACACTTGTGGGCAGATTCTCAACTCATGTACATTATAGCTCCATTGAAGTCAAGGGCTGACAGTTTACACCAGTTGAGGAGATCTCTGAGTTAAAAAACTCCAGAATGAAAACAAAAAAACTGGAGTTTATAACATAAAAGAAACAAGACAAGTGGAAGACAAGACATGGCTAAGAAAGGAAGGGTGAGGAGAGAGGGTCGGTGAGGCTAAAGAAGGAAATGCACCTAAAAGAACTGGTCTTGGAGGTGGTGCACTGAGTTGACTGGGAGACTCTTCCAAGGTGACAGGGTAAAAGAGTCAAAGGTGAGAGGTTGGGGAGGAGTGTGGAGTGCAAGTAGAGGTGTTTGAGGAAATGAGAGCAGAGATGCAGGCAGGGAGAGTGAAGGTGCTGTAGTAAGAGACAGGAAGCTAGCTAAGGGATGGATTTGAGGAGATGGGTGATAAGTTTGGAGTGGCTGGAGAGGAGGATGACTTCATTTGCAGTATTTTCAATGGACTGAAGATGGAAGGCTGTGAAGGAGGTTACAGTAATCACGGACACATGACCAAACCATGGGCAACAGCTTTAGTAATGTGGGAGGGGAGTGAAAAGAAGGTAGATATCAGTGATATTAAAGAGGAAGAAGCAACATGGCTTAGCAAGAGACTGAATACCAGGAGAGAAGAACTGGAACAAACCACACCACATATATTATAAAAAAAATATATGAAATTAGAGTTGGAAATACTACTACTTAACAATTTCACATGTAGGTCTCAAAGTTCTTTCCAAAGGCGTGTAGATACTATTTTCATTTTACAGAGGGAAAAACTGAGACACAGAGCAGTGCAGTGACTTGCTCAAGGTCACAAAATGAGCCAGTACAGGAAACAGGAGTAAATCTAGGAATTTACCTACTTCATCTTCCTGGCAATGAAGGATTATTCTCTACACTGTATTTTATAACAATTGTTCTTATTCAATTCCAGATAGAGAGGGGGCTAAGCCACCAATTTCAGCTCCAGGTCTGAGTTTCCTTAAAGTTTAAGGGTATTTGGAACTGCTGGTTTGGTTTAGGCCCATATTTGGTTGTAAATATGAATTGGCAACCACTGTAGCTTCCTAATAATTCATCCACTATTTACAATGCCTTAAATTAAATAAAGGGCAGGCTCTGGGAAAACCCCTGTGGAGGTAGAGTTTGAATATGGGTTTTTTCCAGGACCCATTCCTGTGAGTTACAGAGTGCCTGAGGGTGCTCAACATCTTGCACAAGCTGCTCAGCATATCTCAGTTTCAGGCGTTTGTGCTTAATCAACTCTGCGGGCAATGAGCAAGTCGAACGTCTGACCTCTACTGGCAGCAGTAGGAAGATGTGAAAACAGTGACTCGTGTAGGGTGGATTGTTAAGTAATTTGGAACATTGCCCACAGAGCAATTACCCCACCATCAGAAATTTGAGTATCTCCAGAAACTGCCATGACAATATCAACCACTCTATAAGGTAACAGAACAAGTGTGAAAGTTTTTGTATGTTTTATTGGCTTGGGTTAAATAGTATATCAAAGGGAAGTAGGAGGGGCAGAAACCATCCTTGCCTAGAAGGAAGGAATGCCCCAGCTGTTTTAGAAATGAAAGTATAATCTGCAACTGCAGAAACTGTCAACCCAGCATCGATTTGACATTGCAGCTGCTCTGGGATTTTGTTGGAGCAGAGTAAAAGGAACTTTTGGTATAGCAAAACAAAACTGAAATCCCCAAGCAATAAGAAACCAGACAATACAACTGCACGGGAGCTGCAAGACAGAGGATTGGGAAACTGTGGCCGCATTACTGCTTTGTGTTCCCTTCAGAGGAGGAGCAGATTGTGTGATCATGGAGGAGACAGTGGAGTCCAGGGATCCAAGAGAAAAGGAAGCATTAGTCAGACCTATCTCTCTGTGGTTCTGCCAGCCTAGCCCTGTCCTTGGCAGCACAGCTCCTTTTGGAGCCATACTGCTCCTCACTCCATTGTTCATGCCTGGGGCTAGTACCCCATCACCAAAGACAGGGTAAGCATGGGAGCTGATGTTCCTAGGAGCAGTATTATCCAAATGGTATTTGCCATGCCAAGGAGACTGAGGGCTGGTCCACCCATCCGCTTCTCCTGCCTGCGGTATCATCGCCCCGACACAGATCCTAATGAGCACCCTTCCTAGCTGCCAATCAGGACTGCTCTGAGGGGAATCCAAGCCTCTGTGCTCTGAATGCCCTGGGGTGCATTAAGCTCCTGGAACCTCAACGGAGTCCTGCCGCTGCCCCAACCTTGTGGTCCCTAGTCACGCGCTCAGGCCGTAGACCTTCTAACCGGCACCCCCTCTGAGTGCTTTAGCCTGCCATCCAACTGCCTAGCCCTCCTAGGTCCAGCGCTAACCCTTCAGTACTCCCCTCTCTCAGACCTCCACCAAAAAGGTGTGAAGCTTCTGGTTTACAGTTTAACTCCCTCAGGGGCACCCAGCAGTTGTAAACGGTCAACGCACACACTTTGTTCAGTTACTCGACTTTATGCTCTCTACTTAACAGATAAAGCACAGGAGAGTACCTCTCGTACAAAACAATGACACCTTCCTACATGCAGTGTCTCACTAGCTCACCCTTCCCGTGCGTGTTCTTGAGGGATCAGATGTGTTTTGTCAGGCAGGCAGCGTCCTCTGGCCCCTTGCCTACCTTGCAGCCGCAGCCTCCCTCATCTTAAACTAGTGCAAAAGGGTTCTCTTTCTCTTCTCTCTTATACTAGCACTGGTGCTCCTGGTCTGCTACCTCTTGATCCGAGTCGTCTAGCGGCTGTGTTTCTTCTCCAGCTGCAGCTTCTGCTCTAGCTGTTGAGCTGTCCACGGTTTCTGTTGCCGTGGTGTGCTCAGTCTGGACGGAATGTGGTGCTGCCTCTGTCAGGCTCTTCCTTGTTTGTCAGGGTGGGGAACCTCAACCCATAGTTGGGGCAGCAAATCCTTTGGGAGACAAAGAGACACCGCACACACTCCCTAGAAATCAGATGAGAGTGAGAGAACCCCATCTCAAACTTACACCCACAGGTTGAGGGGTGAGAAGGGCCATGTGAGAGTTCAGCCCCAGAGGCTCTAAAGAGGGAAATTGTACAGACTGGTGGACGAGTGACACTATGGAATTTTGAAGGACGTATGCTGGCTTGCTTGCAAAATATTTACTATATGAAATTATAAAAGGTAAGGGCAAAAATGCCATTTACAGACTCAGCCTGTCCAGGAATTAAGACAGTGCACTCCCCTAGGCTGCTGTCAGGCACCTTAGTTATACCCACTTCTTTAGGGGGAGATGTGACAGCTAAGGCAATTTTGTGCAATATCCTGGACAAACCATATTGAATTAAGTTTATGCATCGTTGTGGGCCAAGGATTGTATGTAATTCCATGGGGGAGGGAGATCACAGCCCTCCAAAAACTAAGAAGAGTGGGGGTGGGTAAGCAAATTCATTCAGGTTGTAACATCTCCAGAGAGCTACCACCACCTGGAGGGAGGCTTGCATACACTAGTTCACACTGGATTCTGCAGGGACCAACAAAGAAAGGAGTTTTGAGTAAATAGCTGAGTTAAAACTGACTCAAGGCCTTCATTCTGATTCAGCAAATGGGCAAGACCTTTGGTCTAAGGCGTGCTGCCAATCCTTCCTGAGAAGGGCTGGAAAGAGCTGTAGGGGTTATGAACTTGTAACCACAAGAAAACCCCTTGGTGTGGTTTGAAGGACTGTTCACCTGCCAGAGTCCTTGGAGTCAGGGGGTGATCACTGGTAAGCTTAGAATGCAGGTAGGTTTTTTTATTGTTTTTAATGTTTTCTTTGTCATGCTTTTTCCTTAAGAGTAAATATGCTTGCGTAGGAAGAGCTGTCTGTTAACTGTGGCAATTACACTGTTTACTGTTTCTGAGGAGAAAAGTAAAGCAGGCCTGCTTAGGCTGTCTGACTTTGCTGGACTATAGGCAGGGAGCTGTATAGC